TTGCGTTTGCAATCACCTGTTACAATAAGAGCCGTAGGGAAGGAGACAGTTCCATTAAATTAAGTTGCAGAAAATCAAACTAGTTATGTGTACTTGCGAAAGATAGAAATCATGCACAGTGTTAACTCACTTGGTGTTACCATCTGAGAACACCATATTTGTTCTACAAATGACTTACTCCCTAGACATTTTCACATAAAGTTCTATTAGCCGATGATAGGATTGAGTTAAAAAGGTAAAGATAATACGAAACTCGTTCATTAAGCTTAACAGTCGGTTCTCAACTGGTTGGAGAATGAGTGACCTTCAAGCTAATATCCTTCAATCACCTATGGCACTTCACGTTTATTGTGTTAGAATTTTGTATCGAAATATGCTATTTTTATACACTGAAAACAAATTCTTCTGGTTGGTGGTTCTGTCTTTAAGTTCCAGTCGTTCAGTAAACTAAGTTAATTACGATCACATGAGCATATATCACCTGGCTACATATCGCTGTCTCCAACTATCATTCAGCATTTTTTTCTGCAATCAAAATTTTGTCTAGTCAAACTACAAAATACCCTTGTGAAAGATGAGATGGTTAGTTTATGACATGATGTCGTTGTATGAGACTTGTACCAGTCAATTCATGACTCTGCTTGAGGTCCAAGAAATAATGAAGCTCAATCGCTTTGGATGCTATCAGATATGGCTCAAAATAGTAGTCAATGGTAGTCGTGCTATGATTCTCTTTTACCTTCATAAGAAGGACAGAAATTTGTTTGGTTGGAAGAATTGTTTTTATTTATATTTTTTCCTACTGGAATGTTTTCCCTATCATATACTATTTGTATCGACTTATTTTTGATCATATATACCCTTCATCTATCTCTTCACAACATCGTTTACCTATTCACGTCGCTATAATCTTAGCCCTCGCTTGTATCAATATTTGTGTTCAAATAAATAGGACGAAGTTAGCATTGGTATAAAATGCTACCTTCAGAATTCGTCTCTCGATCATAGCTGATACCTTAACGTGGTGGTCGGGCTTGTCTGTCGTGATGATCCAACAGAGCTATATAGGCTGGAACATATGTACTTTAAGTCATACCATGCCAGGGAGGTCAATTAGAGAACAGTTAGACTAAATGCAGCAACTCAAGGTCTGAGGGCGAAGTCGTACTGTCGAGGGGTGTTTCCCTTGGACAACCAGCATCTGCAGCGATGCTAGAAGGAAGGAAAGATGGGGTTAGCAATGGTCGACCCTGAAAATGTCACCCCATTTTACCCCGCGGATTTCCATCCTCGGCGGTAAGGCCTTTTAAAAAGGGCGGAGCTAACACCTTACAAACTTCTCATAAAAAGGCCGTGAGTATCCGGCCTCAAGCAGTTGTCCCTAATCTATGAGCCAACTTCCTTTCCAGGTTACCCGAAGAAGAAATACCGTTTCACAGTGTGGGAAGCCAGGAAGTGACATCCTCCCTCATACCGTAACTGCACACAAAACCAAATTAGTCTCAATTAGATCGTTCCTACCTCAGAATTCGTCTTATTTGATTATTGTACACGATGTAGATCAAACAATTGCTAGAAGCCGAATGAGACCGATCACCACATTAGCTGTCAGTTCTCGTAAACGGTACTTGCTGATTTTCCAAAGTTGATCTCAGCCAAGTGGCTTTACTTGTTAGCATGGTATTTCACTTGTATTTAGCTGTTTTTAGTTATCTAAGTACAAATCTATTTCGCATAATACTTTCTATTTTGCTAGGGGCAACCAAATCAAAACATGGCACAAAAATATGAAGTCATTTATAACTGAATGGAGCTATGTTAGTAGGTGTAGAATACCTGGTTAAGGTCTACGGAACAATTTCAACTGGTGGTTTGAGACTGAGTTACATGGCTCAAAATCGTTAGTAGTGGCGCAGATGCATCCATTCTTTGTCTTCTCTCAAATTCTAATCTACGTTCCTCATGATCTTATTTCTTTTCATAAATCTATTTCACTGAGATATACTTCTCAAATCGTTTCTTCGATCCCTAATCTTTTAAATTACCTCTATTACTGTTACTACTATGGAATATTAACTGACGATTCAATCTCTATGTGCTAATGTTCTATGGAGACTTAAACTGATGTACGTACGTGCGTACGAAGTTCTACGTTGTAGCTCAATGACTGATTGCTTCTATTCTAACATTCATGTTTGTCAGTTCCGACTCCTATACTTAACTGACTACTCAATGATTACATCTCTCATGTTCGCAGGCTAGTTTTTAAAAAATTGGAATATCAATCTTTGAAAATATTCATATTCAACTCTGTAGAATCAATTGTTATTCTATGTGTTGTTTTGAATTATTCGTTTTTTCTTGTAAAATCAAATTCATGTCTTAAAATCCTTCTTTTACCATCTATTTGTTTATCCACTGTCTGTGATAAAGAATTCATTTATATGACTTTTATCCAAGAAGTTTTCGTGTTATTTGTTTCTTGTTTGTAAATCTAGGGAAAAAAAGCAAAGCGTAAAGCTAGAGAACGTCAACTTGAAATTGCACGAAGAATGGCAATGATGCAAAAACGTCGAGAACTTCGAGCAGCTGGTTTAGGGACATTTTTGGGATTAGCACCAAAAACAAAACCATGCATGGATTATAATTCAGAAATTCCATTTGAGAAACAACCTCCTAAAGGATTTTATGATACTAGTAGAGAAAAACCAGAAATTAAACCTATGGATTTTCAACGTTTAAGACTTTCAGATATTGAAAAAGAAAGTTTTATGGAAAGAGAAAAGGTGAGGCCATGTTGTCTTTGGGTTTTTTTGAATTATGTAGTGTGAAATTTTAGTTTGTTCTTAATACTCTTTTTACGCTAAAAATTTTACTTTCAATAGACGCAGTAATGACACTTCATCAGTTGAGGTGGTTGGGACATGTGTTGCGTATGCCCAACCACCGACTGCCTCGTCGAGCTTTGTTTTGTAGTGTAGGAATAGGTTGGAAGAAAGTTAGGGGCGGCCAAACCAAACCATGGCAGAAATCCATGAAATCATTGACGAATGGACTTAGCCATGTCAGTAATTGTCGACTACCTGGTTGGGGTCCGCGAGATGATAATAATCGATGGTTAGAGACCTTGAATGACATGGCTCGAAATCGTTTGCAATGGCGCTGGTGCATTTATTCTTTGTGTTCTCTCAAATCCTAATCTTCTGGGTTCTTCAACAACTCTAGTTTTGTCTTTCTAAACTTTTCTCACTGAATCATACTTCTTGAATATTTTCTAATCCTAACGAACTTCTGAAGTTCGTGCTGATGATGTTGTTCAGAAGAACAATGAAAGCTCCACAACCAAAACAACCAGCTCAGAGAACGAAACACCACCACAAACATTATCTTCGTCTGGATTTTCAGGAGCGGACATTGTACCAGGAGATTCGCTGGTTAACTTAGAGTATGCCGATGACGTAGTTCTATTTAGTGAAGACGCTGACAAGATGCAGTGTCTCCTGACTACCCTAAGCAACAATGCGAGCATGTTCGGGATGCGGTCCCCCCCTGAAGTGCGAAATGTTGCTTCAAGACTGGGTTGCATCGGCACCTAAACTAGTGATAAGGAGTGAGGCAGTTGAGCATGTTGACCGATTCACTTGCCTCGGGAGTCTCATCAGTGCTGATGGCCTGGTGACTGAAGAATTCTCAGCACGGATACAAAAGGCTTGACTGGCTTTTGCCAACTCGCGTCACTTATGGCGTCGGCGAGATATCCGTTCGCTAACCAAAGGATGGGTGTACTATGCAGCGGTTCGCTCCGTTCTACTATATGGTTGTGAAACATGGCCGTTAAGAGTAGAAGATATTCGTAGGTTACTGGTTTCCGATCATAGATTTCCTCGAAGCATTGCTCGTGTATCATGAGACAACCGAGTAAGTTATGCTGTCGTTAGGAGACGGGTCCTAAGTGAGAGTTGCGGATAAATAAATGAAGTATTCAAACTTCATCAGTTGAGGCGGTTGGGGCATGTGTTACGTATGCCTAACCACAAGCTGCCTCGTCGAACTATACTTTGCGATGTAGGATTAGGTTGGAAGAAAGCTAGTGGCAGCCGAACAAAGACCTAAAATTTCCGATTACTGCTAATACTTCTACTACCTCTATTATTATGTCATATGAATTGACAATTGCATCTATGTGCTAATGTGGTATGGCAACTTGAACTGATGTACGTACGTACGTACGAAGTTCTGTGTTGTTGACTGACTGAATGACTGTGTCTCACCAGCCAGACAAGTAAGCAAAACTCCACCAGAATCGATCGTAAACAATATCGAATAAGTCATTTAACCATCTATATAGTTTTTCAAGATTCAATTGTTTTATCCACTTAAGGCTCAAATAATCAACTTTAATTCAGCACACTATTAAAAAAGATTTGATTCTTAACTTAAATGAGCAAGAGATGGTTGCCAATAATTTGTTTAAACATGTGACATAACTGTCAAGTGTTTCAGTATGCATAATTGACATTAATCTCGCTAAATTTTACTATACAATTGTGGTGCGCGCTACTTATAAGTAGTATATGACGTGAGTGTCAACGTAATGTCTGGCAGCAGAAGATGGGGAAAGATCAAGAAAGGAAGAGTGGGAACACAACAGAATTTGTATGAAACGCATGGATAGTGAAATGTCAGATAATGGATTGATGTTTTGCAAATTAACCGTTTACGATATGGTTTTCCTATTTTACTGAGTAACTCTGTAATTTGCGACTAAATACAATTCGGTTGCCCTCACCTGTGTTCTCCTTCACTATACAATAAGCTGTTTTATTTTTAAAATCTAAATTGGAAAAAAAAGAAATCATATTTTATTAACTTTCCTTTTCTTTTTTTTTAGCGTGAACGTAAAAAAGACGCAGAACGCCAAGCTAAACGTATGCAATCTGATTTACCTGGAGTTATTTTACAACGTGGTAATTCTTTGGATGAACCAATGTTAAAACGATCGAAGCTTGTACTTCCTGCTCCTCAAGTATCTGATTTAGAATTGGAAAATTTAATTAAAGTAAGGTTTTTTAAGTGGCTCCTCTTTTTTCTTGTTTTCTGAAAAAAATTATTATCAACTTATTATAACAAGTTGAAACATTTAACATTGAACTTATGTTGTTGGTTAAAAACTAGTCAGTCGTGTGTTGTTTTACGGGTATGAGGGCGGTTATCACTTCCCGGCTGCCCACACCGTGGAAGGTTGTTTCTTGAGGAACCTGAAAAAGAAGGCAGATTAGTGTTGGTCTTGGAGACCTGGGAGCGTGACTGCAGAGTCCAAGGGACTAATGCTTGAGGCCGGTCACGCACGGCCTTTTTATGAAAGGTGTTTTGAGTATTAGCTCCTTAGTGGGCACCCTTACCATCGGAGACGGAAATCCGTGACGTAGGGTGACGTGTGACATTTTTAGGGTCGACCTTTTCTAACCCTTCCTTGTGAGAAGGCAGCATCGCTGCAGATGCTGTTTGTCCGAGGGAAACACCTTACTGCTGCTATCACACCCCTCTGCAATCAGAAGTACAACTTCGCCCTCAGACCTTGAGTAGCAGCTTTTAGTCTCATTGTTTTCCAATCGACCTGCCTGGCATGGTAGAATCTTCAGGAGCATATGTTTCAGCCAATATAGCTCGGTTGGGTGATCACGATAGGTAAGCCCGACCACTAACACGTCAAGGTAGCAGCTTCGGTCGGGGTTAAAAACTAGTACACTAAAGAAAACTTGAGTTTTTGCTGTAGTTTAATGATTATTCAATACAAACTGATGGTCGTTTTCATGCAAGCTTGTTTATTGATTTGTGTGTGTGTGTGTGTGTGGCGTTTTTTATGTTCAATACTCATTTAAGGTGAATGTTCAGCTCACTCATGCTCGTCACTATGCATAACAGTAAAATAAGACTGACAGTGGTTGTACACTAATCTGAACAGGATTGTTGAGATTTAATATTTGTAGCCAGTTTTGTGTTAACCGCGTAAATTCGTGTAGTTTGAACCTAGGTTAAATTATGTCTGCTCGGATTTCGATTGCTTGAATGATCGAAAATTTGTAGTGGGTATACTTTAATATGTCGAGCCCATAGAGTTTGTTCCAACCTTCGGACAAATGAACTAATCTATTCTGCCTGAGTTTACTATTCCATTCATCTTTTGACCTTGTCAACTATTCGCTTTTTTTATCTTGGTTATTTCTATTCAAGTATGTGTGTGCATCGATTACTTTGCTTATCGCATGTCTGGCTACAAATAATTAGTTATGTCTTATTTCATTGAATCGACTACTGACTCGCTTTCTCCATTTCTCTACGCTTTGTTTGTACGCTTTTTATTTTCATGTCTGTCTGTGTGAATGATTACCACCTGAAATAAACCCGTCCGAATGCGTATTTGACTTCATACTACCTGTTGTAACGCTTGCTTAAATAATTCCCAGCTAAATCCTATTGCTTAGTATTCTCTGACCACAATACCACTGGACAAGTTCCCAAGACTCAAAAACACGGTAGAACAGGAAAAGATTATATTTATTTACATGAGAAGCTTCTGGATAGTAATTCACGTGATCGACTGGATTAGATTTAGCCAATCAGAGTGCAGCTAACAACACGAGAATTTTCTAGCCTGTTCTCCAAGAAAATCGATCAGGCACTGATTGGATAGGAAATTAGCCAATCAGCGCGCAGCAACGCAGTCATGCTTTAATTCCATCTATGTTCCACTAACACTACCGCTGTCACATGAATGGGATTCGCCCAAGTATGCTCTAGGGAAACTGAAGGGGGAGATATATTTCATAGCATATTCGACTGTTCGGTCAAACTGAATAGCGGGTCATTAATGTAGTGAGTCTTACCTCGAGTTCACAACAGTCACCAAGAAATTCAATTTCTTACTATGAACACTATTTATCAAATTTTCATTCCTATCGTTTTACTGTGATTAGAGTAACGAGAGATTAGAAACGGTGTATTTATGAAACAACACTAAATGAACTAGAATTTGATTCGGTCCCAACATCTTTCTTCCCTCCAGAAAGAAAGAACCCTAATCTCTCCGATTACTTCTAATACTTTTACTACCTCTACTACTATGGGATTTTGAATTGACAATGGCGTCTCTGTGCTAATGTAGTATGGCAACTTGAACTGCTGTACTTAGGTGTAAAGTTCTACGTTGCTGTTAATGATGATGATGATGATGATCTTTCTTCCCTCATTCAAATCGTTAAAAATTACTCTATACCCGTAATCACTACTACAAATTGGGAAGTTTTTTCTGATTTTATATGAACGAATCTTTGATCTTTAAAATAGATTAAAACACAAAAATGCAGTGTAATGCGGTGTAAATGAACCATGCCTGTTCAGTAAACTGATATTAGCAGAAAAGACAGATAATGACAGATAATCGAATCGATGTTATGACAACTACAGGTTATTCCTTCTCCCAACGGAATTAATTCTTGATCATTGTCCTATTATCTGTTTTATTTTGGCTGCTATTATTATTATTATTATTATTATTCAATTATCTGAATTCTGCAAAAAATATTAGGTTGGTCAAGCTGGTGAAAATGCTGTAAGAATGGCTATTGAAGATGCTGATGGTGAATTGGGTTCTGCAACACATCCTTTGTTACCTGAATATCCTACTGGTGGTTTTGCGACTCCAGCATTAAATTTACAACGAACTCCAATGGCTATGATAGATTCTGTGACTAGAGTAAGTGTTTGTGTAAATTTTTTAATGTTTTTAATGCATAAGTTTTGGCAATAACTTGACACTAACAAAGGTATGCACTTCAGAAATAAGGAGGTGATAGTGTTTGAAATTTTGGGATTTGAATGTTTGGGATGCCACTTAGTTGTTGATTTCATATATTGAACAAGGAACTATTGTGGTGCGAGCTACTTATAAGTAGTATATGACGTGAGTTTCAACGTAATGTCTGGCAACAGAAGATGGGGGAAGATCAAGAGAAAGGAAGAGTTAGGAGAACACAATGGAATTTGTATGAAACGCATGAATAGTGACAATGGATTGATGTTTTGCAACAGGAACAGTCCAGTTCGATATGATGAACTGATATTTTGCAAATGAACGATTTACGATATGGTTTTCCAATTTTACTGAGTAACTCTGTAATGTTTCGTTAAATACAATCCGGTTGCCCCACCTGTGGTCTCCTTCACTACACTACGAGTTTCCTTACCTGAGTAAACTGATTTTTTTGTTAAAGTCAAATTTATTGACTTATATCCGACCCACAATAAGTTGACTTCTTTATTGGTGTAAAAAGCAAACGTTGATACAAAGAGGCCCCGAACTATATTTGCACCACACGGTAAAAATGAAGTCGTGAAGAGATGGAAGAGATAGAGAAATACAATGAATTCGGTCAAAAAGATAGTGGGAGGAACAGATCTGTTAAGAAAAATAACTTAGCAAGGATTCTCTCAGTTGAAGTTCTCCTCATTTATGTACAGAAAGTAAAGGGAAATTACAACCGGACCGCTACTGGCTTCTATTCTGAGACACGTCCGATAAAGCCTCAAGCCACAGAGTTGCACTATCTTTAGGAATCCAACCAGGAGTTGTAAAGGGTCAGCGGATGCCAGTCCTTTACAGCTTCCTTTTATACCGCGACACTGTTATATAACGACGATCTCTTCACCTTTTTCAACCAGTTTTAACCTTGGCGAATAGTGCGTGATATGAAATGCGCTGGAACGACATTGGTCGTACATGTCCAAGACATCAAAGTCGGTGTTTCAAGATGGTACCACCAATTGAATAATCTTTGCTGTGTCGGGACACACTTTGTCATATCTCTGAATCACTAACATGGTGTTGCCACGGAATATCAGCCATCTTTTATAGTCAAAGGTAATCGGATACAGGAAACTTTCTTATATCTTTAACTTGGAGAGACCAGGTTTCATGTGCATAGAGCAAAACTGTTCTCACCGACGCATTGTATACCTAACCTTTTTACAACCAGACTACCATCACAAACGTGGCGAAGATGGCACGGACTGGCATGAACTAATCTGGCTTTCAGTGTACGTGAGTCAGTTTCATCGCTCATTCACATTGCTACCTGGGTACATGAACTTTTCGAAAACTTCTATCTGTTCCATACCAAAAAGTAATTGCAAGTTCAGGGACTTGCGAGTGTTGTAAAAGTATTTCGCATTAATAAGGTGCAAAGCACATGCCGTGGACACGATCACTTGTAGACTCATATACCAATAATTATTACATAATTGACGTGAATCTATTCCAACGATAGGGGTAACTATCGTTTCATTGCTGAATGTTGGAACGCTCTCTAATTACCAAATGTTTTCAAACGACTCACTCAGATCCCCAAACAGTACCATCCTTAAAAAGTGCAGAAGGTAAGTCGTCCGGGCCTGAGGATTTATAGCGCTTCAAGAGTTGGAGTTGCTTACGGACTTCCGTTAGGTCGATCAGTCGTCACGGGCCATGGAGGACAAGACAGTTTGATTGGTGTCGTTGGGGCAGCAGATCAGCTGAACTGTTCATCGGAAAGCTCTTTCCATCGTCCAAGACGTCAGGGATGTTATTATCTGGTGTCCCATCAGCTTCACAGTTTGTTTCACATATACCAAACTTCCTGCGCCCAGAGGCCTGGATGAGTTGAATGAGCTTCTTGCGTTTACCAGGTACAGCTGCTGCTTTCAACTCGTTAGCGCGATTCCATCACCAGGCTTCTTAGTCCTTACACAAGTTGTGCACTATTTGATTACGTAACAGTATTATTTTATTGTCAAACTTGCGGTTATCCAAAGTAAACCGATAAGCCTTGACGAAGTGTAAGAAACCTGCAGAAATTCAGTGCTTATTAGCTGGACGTTTGGCGAAGCTGCAAATAACTTTAGTTGCCATTTTCATGATGTCATGTAGTTTCAGCCATTACTCATACTTTTGGTCGGGTCGATAGATAGCTATGGTGTGATATTTATTTGCAACAGAAGCTGTAGACAGTTTGATTACATCAATCCGCTCTGGACTATCAATTTGTTGGCCACTGAGTCCTAAGATAAGGCTGGCACAAACAGGAACATGCTCAGAGTTCACATAAGTACACAACCATGTCAGGAGTGGTTGATCATGTTTTCAAGCTCCGGCTTTAGGTACAGGAAAAAGACGCCGGGTGGCACATCTGCCATAACTGTGCTGATAGTTTTTGTTAGCTAGAAACAGGTTGAAGTCTGTGCAAAGTTGTAGTAGACGATCGCCGACATTTGATCTGCTACTAACAAGTCTCCATTGACCACCTGGACAGCTCTCCTCTATGTCTAAACGTCCAACCTGTTCACTCAAGTTTACAGCCAGCATGGTATCTGCAGAACTCACCTTCTAGAGAAGATCACTTAACTGGTGATACAACTTATCCTTGCTTGTATTCGAGTTTCAGTCTGCTGGGGCGTAGGCTGAGATAACAGAAAATAATGTTTTTCATATCAATTTCCTTTCAGTAATAGGGCTTTCTATTCTAAAGGCACATAATCGTCCCTTAATGGGGTCCAGTCGACTAGCGCTACCTCAGCTTTAGCGCTTGGCGCAACGCCGATGCCAGTAAGACCTGATAAAAATGCCATCGGGTCATTGCATAAACGCACGCGAAATAAGCATTTCGAAACGACAGATAAAAACCAAGCATGTAGTCCGTTACTAGAGTCGTGAATATAGGTCTTGGATAGACAACAGACAAGATGAAATATTATCACGTCATCTTTCACAGTAGCTAAAGTGGTAACAGTATCCACAGTAGTAAAAAAGCATCTGTGTCATTCTGATCGATTCTGAACCATATCAGTCAATTAATAATTATCAACAACCTACAATACAATATATAGCACATATGTGAACTGGTCCCAGTTACCTCACCAATACTTAATCAGAACAACAAAAAAACAACGTGAATTACACACATGCATTCTCTGTCCAACATAACCTAAACCTATTTATCATTTCATGTTTCACTCTTGATGAATTTTGTGATCTTTTGTTTTATTTTTAGGAAGCACAAAATATCTTAGCTTTACAACAAGTACAAACTCCACTTAAAGGCGGTGAAAATACTCCTTTAGTTGGTGAATCTGATTTCTCTGGTACAACGCCTCGTTTACCAAATACTCTAGCAACTCCAAATGTTTTACTTCCAAGTCAGATTATTGGTACAACTCCATTTCGTACACCGAACAGCAGCATAGAAAATGGTATATTGTGTTTTCTTGTCTTTTTTCCCCCTGTTGTAACGCTTGCTTAAATAATTCCCAGCTAATTCCTATTGCTTAGTATTCTCTGACCACAATACACTGGACAAGTTCCAAAGAATCAAAAACACGGTTGAACAGGAAAAGATTATATTCCAAGTAGCAAGGTTAAACGGAAATAAGAATCCGAAGCCGAAGGCGAAAGCCAAATAGATAAAACGTTAGTATCTTTATAGTTTACACATGAGAAGCTTCTGAATAGAAATTCACGTGATCGACTGAATTAGATTTAGACAATCAGCATGCAGCTAACAACACGAGAATTTTCTAGCCTGTTCTCCAAGAAAATCGATCAGGCACTGATTGGATACAAAATTAGCCAATCAGCGCGCAGCAATGTAGTCATGCTTTACTTCCATCTACGTCCCACTAACACCCCCCAACATTTCATGTATATTGATGTTATTTTTCTGGTAGTTTGAAAAAAAACCGAATTTCTATTTCATTCTGTTATACTTTATCGTTTTATTATTTTCCTTTTCAAAGCTTAGTTATCTAATTAGCTTGATTTTGTAGCTGATATACTTGACAAGTGGGAAAAATGTATCCTCAGTAGTATTTTTACAGAAAATAAAATTGATGCTCTCTGAATTTTGTAAAATACAATGTTCACCATTCTAGTTCACATATATTGACTAGACAGAGTAGTAGTAGTAGTAGTATGTTGAAAATGATTCCAAAGCTAAGGAGCTTTTTGTTTTGTTGGTACACCATAGTTGATACAAATGATGACATAAATGGTATTGTTTGTCAAATGATGAATCCTTCACATAATTTTTCTCATTAAATAAATTAAAATAAAACCAGAACCATTAACATAGAAGAGTAACTTGAATTCGTCTTTATTTCTCCTTCTATCAAGAGGCTCGCTTATTGACTTAGAATATGTCGATGACATTGTCCTACTTGGTGAAGACGCTGACAAAATGCAGAGTCTTCTGACCACCCTAAGCAATAATGCACCTGAACTAGTGATAGGGAGTGAAGTAGTCGAAGGAGTAGACCGCTTAACGAATCTGGGGAGTCTCATCAGTGCCGATGGCCTGGTAACTGACGAAATCTCAGCACGGATACAGAAGGCTCGATTGGCTTTTGCCAACCTGCGTGATCTATGGCACAGGCGAGATATCCGTTTACTAACCAAAGGACGAGTGTACTGTGCAGCAGTTCGCTGTGTCCTACTATACGGATGCGAGAATTGGCCGTTAAGAGTAGAGGACTTTCGTAGGTTACTAGTCTTCGATCTTAGATGCATTGCTCGTGTATCCTGAGTCAACCGTATAGGTATTGCTGTCGTTAGGGAACGAGTTCTAGGTAAGGATAACAAATCAGTAGATGAAATAGTGAAACTTCATCAGTTGAGGTGGCTGGGACATGTGTTACGTACGCCTAACTACCGACTGCCGTGACGAGCTGTTTTTTTGGTATAGGAGTAGGTTGGAAGGAAGTTAGGGGCGGCCAAACCAAAACATGTCAGAAATGCATGAAGTCACTGACAAGTGGACTGAGTCATGTTGGTACATGTAGACTACCAGGTTGGAGTCCGCGAGACGAAATTCACCAATGGTTAGAGACCTTGAATGACATAGTTCAAAATTGTTTGCAATGGTGCAGGTGCATCCACTCTTTGTGTTCTCTCAAATTTTAATCTCCTGTATTCCTCATAATCTTTATATTTTTCCCTCTAAATTTATCTTACTGAATTATACTTCTCGAATCATATCTTCGCTCCCTAATCTTCTCCATTACTGCTAATAATTCTATTATTGCTATCACTCTTGGATTTGAACTGATAGTTGCGTCTCTGTGTTGATGTGGTATGGCAACCTGAACTCTGAAGTACTTACGTACAAAGTTCTGCGTTGTGTCTGTTTGTCTTTATTTCACGGTTTCGCGTCAGCTACTCACAATTTAAACATAGTGATATTCATCAGTAAAAAAAAAACAATCATTGTACATACTTTTCTGATGTTATGTGATAATATATGATTGTAAGCAGCAGCTGACCAGAAACCACGAAATATATCGATTATTCTTACTTTAACCAAACGGGTAGATGATCGGATGTTCAATGGATTAGTATTATAGAATGTGAAAAACCTTCTTACAACTAACTGCCTAGATAATTACTACTACAAATGTTTGAATTAACATGATAATAAGCTGTAAAATTATGCCTATTTTCTCATATAGGCAAAAAACAGTACTAATCGATAATTATTTATTATTGTAATTTGACCTCATATTTAACACATCAATAAATGTATAAATGTATATAAGCCTTTTTATAATAGTTATAGTTCTTTTTTCCTAGTAAGGGAATTAATGATCTTGTTCCAACTGAAAATGCAATTACCATCTTGTAGCATTTATAAAACAATGTAATGTGTCGTGTTGTTATTCCTATTATTTTTCTGATTAATTGGAACACCTGTTTGATATTAAGCGAGTATCTACAAATATATGGAATAGACTAGTTGAAAGGTTAGCATTGTAGTGTAGTTATACGAAATCATGAATTGATCAATGTTAGATCACCATTAGAAACCTCGAAGCACTTGTTGGCCGTTTCGTCCTGGTATGCGACTCATCAGCAGTGTGTATCGACGACTCCCATTACTTGCAGGATTCGAACTCAGAATCTTCGATCTTGCGCGCGATCGCCTAACCTCTAGACCACTGAGCCGGTATCTAACGATGTTATAATGTCTAACCTCGATCAATTCACTGTCTTACGCAACCTCATTCACTGTCTTTGGTGATCACTGCTTCACTAGAACTCGGAGAAGATTCCTTACAGAGCTAGTCACTAGTGAGCACATGCAAAATCAGTGTATGTACTCCAAGAAAACAGTTTGTTCACGAAATGTGTACACATAGTCTTTAATCATTTAGTTGTAGTCTAAGAATGCTACTGACTGTTTTCTGTCACTCCTATTCTAATTTTCAAAATACTCTAATCATACCGATGCACGTTACTTTTTATATGCCCCTTTGTGAGTAGCACTTAGCATAGCTGTACTCAAGTGTGTTGAATACACATCACTTTACAAAAATCAAATTAACTTTATTCAACAAAAGGCAGTGACGAGTGAAGTTCAACCATGTCGTATGTGGGGCAGTTACCTACTAAACACGAGACAACCGTCTTGAGATCATCTGTGTTGGTGTAACTTTTCTTCTCAATGTGTTATTTTTTATGGTTAGCGTTTTTTTTTTCAGCGAGTTAGTTTTCTACGGAATGGGGTCGCTAACTCTTATCATACCCAGCCCTTCTTTCCCAGACTTGGGACCAGCAGTAGTATTAGTCCCAGAGTTATTGATCAATAAATAACTCAAAAGCCTAATTGATATAACCCCCTAAAAAGCAATCCCTACTAGAAATATTTGTATTTATTTCATGTTTATGTCATTTTCATTTTATTTTTCTTCAAATTAGTCGGTCACAATTTCTTCTTGTCTGTTTTATATTGTAGGCACTCCAAATCTTCTTATGGGCGGTGATAGTACACCTGGTCCGTTAAGAAAAGCCGGTGAACAATATCCCGGCACTGTGGCTGTATCAAATACCCCATTAAGAAATCGTTTAAATATTAATCCAATTCATGAGAACAATTTAGAAGATGGCATCAATCATCATCATTCTGAAGCAGTAGGAGGTGGAGCAGCATATTACGATCAGAATGGTGTAAAAACTAATCTACGCAAGAGTTTGGCGAATCTACCAACACCGAAGAATAATTTTGAAATATTCTTACCCGATGAAACGAACACCACTGGCACTGATGATACTGATGACATTGATAGTAGTAATGTAGATATGGACCAATTGGATGAAGAACGTGGCACTGCTGCCAGAATTCCTGACCAGTCAGATTTAGATAGACAATCGGAAAGAGAACGTGCTAAATTGGCCGAATTGGAATGGTCTAAACGTAGTCAAGTGGTTAGACGATCTTTGCCAAGACCATCTGCTGTAAATCATACTATTTTGCGTAACGCTCCAGGTAGTGGTGTCAATCAACCACCATCTCAACAACAAGAAGCAAGTATGACTGATTTACAAAAGGTATGCTAAAAAATAGTATTTGCATATACTGTCAAACTGTTAAAGAATACAGCATTGCTTGTATTTCATGGGACTAGCGAGTGGGCAACGCTGCTATAAGGAAACGAGTGCTAGGTAAGAATGGTAGATCAATAGATGAAGTAATGAAACTTTATCAGTTGAGGTGGTTGGGACATGTGCTGCATATGCCTAACCACCGACTGCCTCGACGAGCTTTGTTTTGTAGTGTAGCAGTAGGTTGGAAGAAAGCTAGGACCGGCCATGGACTGAGCCATGTCGGTAGTTGTCGACTACGTGGTTGGGGTCCGTGAGATGATAATAATTGATGGTTAGATACCCTGAACGACATGGCTCGAAATCATTTGCAATGGCGCCCGGTGCATTTATTCGTTGTGTTCTTCCATATCCCAATCTTCTGGATTCTTCAACCCCTCTAGTTCCGACTCTCTAAACTTTTCTTATTGAATCATACTTCTTGAATAATATCTTCTAATCCTAACCTCTCCGATTACTTCTAATACCCTAACTACCTCTACTACTATTGGATTTGAATTGAGAATTCCATCTCTCTGTGCTAATGTGATGGTATGACAACCTGAACTGATGTACTTACGTATGAAGTTCTGTGTTGTTGCTGACTGACTGACTGTTAAAGAATACTTTTAGATGTGAACTAGTGTTATAATCGAATTGTTAACTAATACTGTCTAGCATTTGACATATTGATTTCGAAATTTATCTGCTTGATTCATATCAAACTCTCGGAAAAATCTATACTTGATTATCTTGTTCAATAAGTACGGTCACTCTTTGGAATTCTACCATTGTCAACTGTATCATGAATTTATGGTTTGCGCCATGAAAAATGATCTTATTTAGACAAACAAGAAAAATTAGATAGTTTCTCTGTTCCTAATGATGATAGTCTTCTACGATGAGTATCGGCAATCACATCAGAGATCAAATCTCACGACAGTTCCTTGACTGTTACACCAATCATTGAATTTTAAACTGTTTATAATTTCTAACTTTGACCAGTTATATTCCTCAACCATCTTCCAATCAATATCCGTTTAGATTAGAATCTTAGAAGTATTGGATTGCTGAAAACCGTTTGCAATGGTGGAGGTGCATCCATTCTTTGTATTCTCTCAAATCCTAATCATCTGAATTCCTTATGACCGTTTTTTTTACTCTTTTTTCTAATTGATTTCCCTGGGCTATATACTTCGAATGATATATTCGATCAGTAATCTTTTTGATCACTGTAAATACTTTTACTAACTTTACTACTATGAGATTTGAAGAGACACTTCAATCTCTGTGTGCTAATGTGTGGTATGTGGCAACTTGAACTGTGATGATGACTGACTGGATAGCTCAGTAGTAGTAGTAGTGACCTATTTCTAGATGTTTCAGAACTTTTAGTAAGTAGTTGTGACTGTTAGAGTTCATTCATATTGGGCATGAAACAGTTGACATTAAACTGTTGTCGTGCTATATCACAGATTGGTTCAAGTTAAAATTGTACCATTCAACGCTAATCTAGCAGTTCCAATGGTTAAGCATTGACTGCAAGTCATGAAGATCCTGGATTCGGTCATTAGTAGTAGACTGAGTCATGGATACTCATGGATAAAATGTCCTATATCAAGACAAAATGGCTATTCAGTAACTACTCCCTGATCCCTAGTGTTATCTTAATTGAAGAGATCAATCTTTGATGAATGCAATCTACAAATCAAAGCACTCTCTCTCTCTCTCTCTCTGAGAACCGTTCTAACTAAAATTCTTAAATGTTTATATATACATACTATCCACACATACTACCACAAAAAATGTCTGTCACGTGATGATTTATAGCAATCAACATAATTGTGAGTGCATTATTGTACTTTAGATCCATTTTTTTTAAAAAAAAGCGTATTCATTCTGAATAAGAATAGTTTGTCGTTCTGGGTTTTTTTGCGACTAATGTGTGACATAACCTATAGGAGAGCATGGCAGCTTATAGATGCATATATATATATATATATATATATATATATATATATATATAGGACTCAAATTGATCTTTCGTCTTTCACAAAATCCATAGATCAGTAGCAGCAGCTGAAGAAAACGTTAAAATACAAAAGTTAGCTGAAAAGAAAGTTTTACAGTAGCTTATTTTAAAATCCGGCATTTATAAAAAAGAGAAGTGATCTTTTTAAGGACAATGATTGCAGGCGAATAATCCTCTCTAATGAGTATGTATTGAAGTTGAGCTAATTCGCCTCAGTTTTGGCTTTGTTTTTTCTCATAGGCAACTGCATTAAAGATATTCTTTTAATCTAATCAGTGGACGACAGCGAGATGATGATTATATGCAATAGATGACATGACTCAAAATCGTTTGTAATGGCGCCGGTGCATCCATTCTTTGTGTTTGCTCAAATTCTAACCTCATGAATTCCTCATAATCTCTATCTTTCTCTTTCTAAAGTTATCTCACTGAATTATACTTCTTGAATCATATCTTCGCTCCCTAATCTTCTTCATTACTGCTAATACTTCTACTATCTCTATCACTATGGGATTTGAATTGGCAGTTGCGTCTCTGTGCTGATGTGGTATGTCAACCTGAAATGATGTACGTCCGTACGAAGTTCTACATTGTAACTGACTAATCTAATCACCAATACTTTGAAATTACACAGAAATAGAATGAGACATGGTTAGCATAAATTACATCAATGTATTATTTTGTTGAATTCAACACGTAAATATTAATTAACCGAAAGCATTAAATGATAATTATAATAATAAGTGGGTCAGGCGTTCGTGCGCAAGGCCAAAGGTCCTGGGTTCGAATCCTATGAGGTTCAGGAGTCGTAGTAGTCCCATACCGGGACGAAACGGCCGTCTGAACCGTGCTTCCAGGTTTCTAATGGCGGTGTAACAATGATTGACTGATTGATGATTGGTGATTTCAGTGTGTAAAAATACTAGTCTCCATAACCCTAATTTAAAAATATAATTATAATAATTTTCTTCGATACCATTACTACTACTACTACTTTGAATTTTGTTAGCTTACAAAATGTTTTGTTTAACGTTTATTCTGATTCTAATTATTCCAAAACATTCCGTAGTGTCATACATTATAACTATTCATCATTTCAATCATTAGAACATTCACAGTTTGTGAAAGTAAATCATGTTCTTGGCATTGATCCCGCTCATATTATTTTATAAGATGAAAGAAAGCTTGAGGGTGTGCTCCATTCAATTATCGGAATCAATGATTGGAGACTCGTTGAAATTATGAACCGATCAATCTTAGACCATTATTAGAAATGTGTATGCACTCGAAGGTTGTTTCGTCCTAGCGTGGAATCCTTCAGGAGTGCGCATCCACTATCTAGACACGTGGGAATCGAAGCCAAGACCTGCGGTATCGCGCGCGAACACCTAACTTCTTAACCATTAGGCCATGTTTGAATCAATCAATGATATTTCATGACCTTTGCCTACACCGAAGACAATGAGTATCATAGTAGGACGAATCAGTTTTTCAGTGTTTCTAGGTTTCCATTCGCGGTATAACGTTAATCGGTTCATGATTTCAATGAAACTCAACAATCTCCACGATCCCTATAATAATAATAATAATGATTGAAGACGTTGGATTATATGCCTCGAAATAGGCCATTTAAATTATTCTATACTTCTTATTGTACAAACTAATTCTTTTTGCTCTAATTGCATTGTTTTTGCAAAACGTTTTCCACCAAATACATTCATTATCTTTTATCGTTTATCTTGAGTTCCACTATTCCAACATATTTACCTCATCATCCTATCTTTTCAGACCATATTCTCGTTATCCAATCTTTCTCATTGTCGTTCTTGCCACATTATCGTCCTGAATTCATCTCATAATGCTAATATTGTGGCGCAACTTGAACTAATGCACATTCGATCCCAAACACTAGGCATGTGGTGAATGACTGATACCACAATCATTTTGACTATTCTGCGATTGGTCTAACCGATTCTCATCAACCGATGTTGATGTGTCATGCAGTAGCTCGAGCCGATTCATTCGTATTTGATTGTAGACTGTGTTATAATGCTGCTACGTATAGCTATTCAGTCTTAGCGGGGTCCAAATTCAAATATCCCAGTACGACCCAAATACTATTTCCAAATCTCCTATATATCAGAACGCAACACCGTTGGATGGAGTTGTTTATTGGGTCGAGTACAGAAGAGAGGTAGACATGAAGAAACGGAATCGGAATCATGAAGTCTTACAGATAGTGCGTATTTATACATTTAGGTCGAATAGGAAAGGGTATCAAATTCTGTGACATTGACAGTTTAGGACGACGACCAATAGGAAGGAACCATTTGAAATGACATTGACAGTCCGGATGACCAATCAGAGACAAGATTGAAGTATATATGACTTTGACAGTTAAAATGACCATAATTTTTGACCAATAGGATTATACTTCCAAAAATAGTAAGTAATACTCTTAGGATATATGGTGAATATCCTAACAGATTGATTATGCTTTCTTTTCCTACTCGGATTTATTCATTTTTTTTATTTATTTAAAAAATTAGGCTGAAGAATTAATTAAACAAGAAATGGTCACTATGATGCATTATGATAATTTAAATAATCCACCACCAAATCAATTATTGGATGCGACAAAACAAACAACTGGTGGTGGTAGTGGTGGTACTATTGCTCCAGCTAGTCAACAACGACGTTATTTACAACAATTGAAAGCAACACATGAAAATTTTTTAAAAGATTACCCGTATGAACAATTTGTACTGGATGATTTGAAATTGGTATGTGTAGTGTTGTGTTGTGTACATTCAATTTGATAAATTTGGTTTTTAGTACTTACTTGCTTACCTACTTACGCCTGTTACCGTCGATAGAGGAGCATAGGCTGCCGACCACCAGTTTTCTCCAACCAACTCTGTTTGTCCTGGGCTTCCCTATCCAGTTCTGTCCAATTTTTGTTCATTCTTCTCATGTCTTTTTTCTATTTCTCGACGTTTATAGTAGTTTTGATGAATTCTCTTTGCAATCACGTTATCATGATATCGGTGATGATCTCTAGTGCTGTATGAGATGTGTAAGTAGCTTTTCCATCGCGAATGCACACTGTAGGAGGAGAATACTATCTTGAATACCTGATTACTGGAATTGATGATGGCCTTGAAAATCCACGAGCGTCACTACAAAGTACAAACAATTACTTGAGGCTAGTCACATAAGGCGAAGGTGTGGATCGAGAAAGCAAGAGCTTCATTTTTATACAGTTGAAAAACATCTGGAATTCAAAACAACTATCAATCAACATCAAAATCAGGATTTTTAGTGCAGATGTCAAGACGGCTCTACTGTATGGGGTGGAAACTTGGAAAACTACCAAAGCCATCATCCAGGAGATACAAGTATTTATTAACAGTTGTCTACGCATAATACTTCGTATTCGTTGGCCAGACACCGTCAGCAACAACTTACTGTGTGAGAGAACAAACCATATTCCAGTGGAGGAGGAAATCAGGAAGAAGCGGTGGAAGTGGATAGGACACACTACGAAAAGCACCGAACTCTGTCACAAGACAAGCCCTCACATGGAACCCTCAAGGCAAAAGAACAAGAGGAAGGCCAAGAAACACATTATGCCGAGAAACAGAGAAAGCTATCAGAAGAATGAACAAAATGTGGACAGAACTGCAAAGGAAGGACTTAGACAAATTAGGTTGGAGAATACTGTTCGGTGGTCTATGCTCCATTGGAGGTAACAGGCGTAAGCAAATAAGGGAATTTTTCTGAGTTTTTGTTTCGTTAGCTTCATACTTTCAATGACTTCCCAACTGTGCAGTAATGTGAGATGTACTATCATTATGACCGAAATTTTCAATTCCTCTTCTTTCATTGTAAGGAAACGTTATTTCTTCAGATACAAGGAGTAGTGCAAGTTCGTCCTCAAACCTTAAGTTTGTTATTTTTTGTCTTACTGTTCTCGAACCAATCTGCCTGATATGATAGAACAAATAGGAACAGTTTTCCTTCAGCAAATATAACTGAATTCAGTCGTCCGGAAAACAAATCTCACTCATTAGGTCAAGGTGTCAGCTACAGTCAGATTACTGATTATCGGTACGTGGATAAAACGTTAGAAAAAGAAATCAGATATATATATCTGTCTCGGGGGATACTTTTAGTTTGAATCAATCTAAGAATGACAATACTCCCAAAATCGTATACATCTCAGACTGATTTTTGTCAAACAACAATGGAAAGTGAAAGAGAACATTGAACACACTCCTGTCTCATCCTCGTATAACCTTTAAATGTCACCTTATTTGTTTGTAGTTTCACATAGTTATCTAGCTGCTAGCTACTAAGGTCAATTCGTGATGTAGATTAAAAAAAACTGTAATCACTTAATATGATTTGAACTAGTTTATTATTCATTTTACAGGTTGATGAAGATAATTCTGTGTTGATTGTTGAAATTCAGAAAAAATTTCTTTCATGACCAAATTGAAAATGTTTTCTTTTTACTTATTTTTTTTATCTTTTATTTTATACTACTATTTTATTTTGTAAGTAGTTCAATGCTGTATTATATGTTAATATTCAATTTCATTTTTTATATAGGCAGAGAATTTACTTGAAGAAGAAATGCATATAGTACGTAATGGTATGGGACATGGTGAATTATCCATTGAAGCATATGCTAAAGTTTGGCATGAATGTTTAAGTCAAGTTTTATATTTACCAGCACATCGACGTTATACACGTGCGAATTTAGTAACAAAACGTGATCGAATTGAATCACATGAGAAACGCCTGGATCAACTACGTCATCTAATGGCTGAAGAAGCTAAACGAGCTGCAAAACTAGAAAAAAAACTTAGAATTTTATTAGGTGGATATCAGGTAATTTGTTGTGTACAACAGTTGTTTTTTGTGTTTAACATTACTTTATATTTGATTTAATGAGAGTTGATTAGTCAAATCGCTTCAAACTCCGTTATTTGTTCATGAAAGGGGGAAAATTATTCGTACGTTCTATTATCTATGAAGGCTTTCTGAAAAAATCTTCTCTAATGACTATCTACTTCCAATAAATCATCATATCATCAAGAGTAGTTTCGGAGATTTTGTGTTTTGATATGTCGATAGCATAACTTGAAGAAAATGTAGTTGACTAACCTTTCACAAACTCCGCCTGGAGCCCTTCCGGGGTTACTGCCCGTCTTAAGCCTGGGTATGGGTTGAGGGTTGGGCATAAAATTAGCGACCCCACCTCGTAGAAAAGCAACTCGCTAAAAACATGTTACTTACTTAGCCTGTCACCCCCAATGGAGCGCAGGCCGCCCAACAGTCCAAAGGGAAGCCCAGGACAGAGTTGGTTGGAGAAAACTGGTGGGCTGCCTATGTTCCATTGGGGGTAACAGGCGTAAATAAGTAGTTAAGTAACATGTTTTTAGCGAGTTGGTTTTCTACATGTTAACCAGAAAAAATAATATGCTAGTCGTTGCTTATACTCCTCTAGGGGTGTATCAGACATAAGTAAGCCTTTCAAACCGTTGTCGTTAGTATAATATACTTGTGAACATGGTATGCAATGTGTTTGGTTGATGAAAATATAGATCAACAAATAACTTTCAATCGATAATGTATACAGGTAAGTTATTTCACATTTCATGCAGCTATATATATATCTGTTGACTTCGGAAGCTTTGTGAATAACGAATCTTTATTTCACTGAACACGCAATGCATGTTCGCATCGTGAAAAATCTAAGCATAACTTTATATTTAGGTAGTATTCGTTACGAATTAATTTCAGTTGGATTTCTATGGAAAAATAGAAATCAATACACATCTGTTTCATCCTGCGGTTCTTACAAACACTCCTAACAGTGATCAAACCAAAGACCTTTATATCTCACGGTAAACTATTAATCATTCAAACCAACTGGGTTATTGTGTTCAGTGGTACACTTGCGACCTCAATCAATGTGCAATAAAACACAGTGACTGTTTGATGTTATCATTGACAACAGGCCTTATTTATGTTGGGGATGTTAGATCCCCAAAACTCGCTAGATAAATAAATGCCTTATTTAGGATTTCACCTTTGCCAGCATGGGCTGACCAGTTGACTGTGAGATTTCATTTCCCATCAGGAAAATCCATGGCTGTGATTGGCTGCTGTGTGTTATTTTAGTGTGCTATTTTCGTAACTATCCCAAGGATGTTTCTATGATGTATAAATAAACGAGAGTTGTATGCTTGATTGTATTGTGTGATTGCTGGGTGTTTGTAGAATATACTTTCTGCGCTTACAAAACCTTCTACCTTCAGCTCGGGATTCAAGGTAGCCTATCTGGACGCTGGTTCATTGTCTCGTTCACGTTTATCGACTAAGGTGAACTAGTAATTAGCTTCAAGCGTACTTAGTGACGAATCCTACAATTTACTATATATTTTTCGCATTACATATTTATATTCTATTCAATACAATACAATACAATAACAAGTTTACATATATATTTCTTCTCCTATTCAATGTCCATTTAGTCACGTGCACAAACTTTAATGAAAGCCATTGAAGAGAGTGTCGATCAAATTGAACAAAGTCAAATGGAATTGACCACTTATGAACGATTGCATGATCAAGAATTATGCGCTATTGCTAGACGTTCTGATGTAAGTACTTTCTTTTGCAAGTACAAAAACGTTTTTGTATTTCCATGTAAATTACTTTTAGTATTAGGTAAGGATAGCGGATCACAAGATTAAGTAGTGAAACTTCATCGGTTGAGGTAGTCTGGAAATGTGCTACTTATGCCCAACCACCGATGGCCTCAGTCAGTCAGTCAGTTGCAACGTAGAACTTCGTACGTATGTACATAAGTTCATGTTGCCATACCACAGTAGCACAGAGACGCAAATGTCAAATCAAATCCCATAGTGGTAAAGATAGTAGAGGTATTAATGGTAATGAAGAAGACTAGGGTTTGAAGATATTATTCAAAAAGCATAACTCAGTGAGATAAGCTTAGAAAGACAAAGGTAGATATGCTGACGAGTCGAGAAGTTTAGGATTTGAGAGAGCACAACAAATGGATGCACTTATGCCATTGCAAACGATTTTGAGTCATGTCGTTCAAGCTCTCTAACCATTGGTGAATTTCGTCTCGCGGACCCCAACCAGGTAGTCTACATCTACCAACATGACTCAGTCCACTTGTCAGTGAATTCATGGATTTCTCGCATGTTTTGGTTTGGCCGCCCCTAGCTTTCTTCCAACCTACTCCTACACCACAAAACATAGCTCGACGAGGCAGTCGGTGGTTGGCCATACGCAACACCTGTCCCAACCACCTCAACTGATGAAGTTTCACTAATTCATCTATTGATTTGCCATCCTTACCTAGTACTCGTTTCCTAACGACAGCATTGCTTACTCGGCTGTCCCACGATAGACGAGCAATGCTTCTTAAACATCTCTGATCGAAAACTAGCAACCTAAGACATCTACTCTTAACGGCCATCTTTCGCATCCATATAGGAGAACGGCGCGAACCGACGGCCTAGGGGAGCGATATTTTGTGGTGTTGAAGTAGACTGGAAGAAAGCTAAGGTTGGCTAAAGCAAAACATGACACAAACCCATGAAGTCAATGTCAACTGAACTGAGTCATGTTTTTAAGTGTAGACAATCTGATTGCAGTCCGCGAGATGATAGTTATCGATAATTAGAGATCTTGAATTACATTGCTCAAAATCGTTTGTATTGGTGCAGATGTATTCACTCTTTGTGTTCTCTTAAAATTCTAATTCTCTGAATTCCTCATAACCGTTTTTTCTCTGGAATTTGAATTGACAATTGCATCTCTCTGTGTGTGTTAATGTGGTATGGCAACTTGAACTAGTGTACGTACGTACTAAGCTCTACGTTGAAACTGACTGACTGATCGACTGACATTATCTTGCTCTTTTAAGTTACTGCTGATGAATTTGACTAGCTATTCACAAGAATGACTTTTAATATGTATAAATATATTTGCTTTCTAAAATTCAATTTTCAGATTTTAGAAGCTGATGTTGAACGTCAACAAAAACGTAATGCTGATCTACAACGTGAATATGGCCGATTAATTCGTATTCGTGAAGAACGTGAAGCTGATGCTTTCCTAGCTAGTAATATCGACTTAATAAGTAATGGTGGTGGTGGAGGAGGTGATGATGGTGGCGGCAGCAAGTCTGATGGAGGAGATACGTTGACATCCGGCAATGTTGTCGGTGGTAATGGTAGTGAGGTTATCACTTCTCCTGACATAAACAATCAAACGAATCATACTGAATCCTTGAAAACACAACAAGTCTATGGCAATAAAAATATCCACTCGGGTAAATGGATTGCTGTAACACAAACAGAACCTATGGAAGATCCAGATCAGCCAATGCTATTGTCGTCCAATGGAGAGATTATTACAAAATCTCAGTAAGTCTACAAAGGTTTTGTTTTTGCTGTAGTATAGTACTTTCTTTTATTTTTGTATATGTCGTATACATGTTTCAATATCAAGTCTAGTGTAAGACTAGATGGCATCAGTGAAAGGAAATGGAGTTTTACTAACAAAATGGTTGAACACCTTATCTCTAGGCTTCATTTACCAAGGAAGCTGTCTTTCTTCACATATCGCCTAGTCCTCAAAACACTGTGATTTTACCTTGCGTCCGGATCCGATTACTCTTCTCTTTAGTAGTAGTAGTAACCTGTGGGTGACATTTCGTTGAATACTCACTTGGAAAAGGTCACAATTTTGGAATTTTTTGTTTTCGCGCATAAGCTGTTTAGTTGACCTTCAGCTTACATTTTCCACTTGGAAAATCCTTGACTGTTATCGGTTGATGTGTTATTTTAGTACGCTATTTTTGTGGCTCTCCTCAAGGACGTTTCTATGATGTATTAATGAACTCGATTTGTGTGCTTGTGAACCTCATATTTTTTGGGTGTTTGCAGAATACACTTTCTACGCCTTGTCAAGACTTCTTCCTCTACTTAGTATGGGACTTGGGACTCTTGGACTAGATTAGCCTATCGTGTCACTGGATCATTTGTCTTCACTCTTGTTTACCGACTAAGGTGAAACCTGTTTATTCCTATTCTCTGTTGATTTTTGGGATAATTTTACGACTGGTTGACTAAATTGTAAACCTTTCAATGCAGTATTCAAGTGTCTCAATATTTACTGATATGCTTGAAACTACTTACGAGTTCGGTAAACGAGAGAGAAGACAAATGATTCAGTAACTAGATAGACTACTCTAATCCAAGTGTCCTAGAGCCCCACTGAGTAGAGGAAGAAGTCTTGACAAGACATAGAAAGTGTATTCTACAACAACCCAGAAAATATGAGGTTCCATAAGTACACAAATCGAGTTTATTTAAATAAAATAGCGTACTAAATTAATACATCAACCAATAACAGTCAAGGATTTCTTCTGCTGGCAGTGGTAGTAGTCCATTGACTAGTTTAATTTTACCAATTAATTCAACAAATGATTATTCACAAATTGTTGTTGCACAACAACAATCATCGACTGTTCGTACTCCATCAGTTGCCAGTTTGGTTGCTACGAATACAGCTAGACAGTTGGTTTGTGGTAAGTGTTTTTTAATTTGATGATAGTTGGGATATTCATCCAATATACTAAGAGAATTATTGGTCAAATTCTATCGGTCGATTTCTATTGGTCAAAATTATGGTCGTTCAAACTGTCAAAGTCAAATACTTCAATGTTGTCTCTTATTGGTCATCCGGACTGTCAATGTCATTTCAAATGTTCTTTCTTATTGATTGTCCCGACTATCAATGTCACTTCAAATGTTACTTCCTATTGGTCGTCTTAACTGTCAATGCCACAGAATTTGATGATGTTTCCTATTCGACCAAAATGTATAAATACACATTATCTGTAACATTTTATGACCACGACCAGGACCAGGGCTCGGTCCTGGATCCCTAGTCCGCGATCCTGATTCTCTTCTGGATTCTGACCTCGTAGTTTCTGGATGCTTGCAGAATACAGGTTCTACTTCATATCAAGTCTTCTCTTTTTTTACTAAATATGGGGGTTGGGATAATCGGATTTGAGTAGCATATCGTGTCACCGGATCCTCGATCCTCGCTTTCGTTTTTCCGACTGAAGTAAACTCGTAATAGTTCAAGTATATCAAGCTGACGTGTTTACGTGCAGGCGTAACATTTCTCCAAGTGAGAAATGTTATCTCATGGTTAGCCTTGATTAGCCCAGTGCTTGAAAGCATTAAAATTCAAAATTGGGACCGTTTATTAAATGAGTTCTGGGAATTTGACTTGCCCAATATTTACAAACAATGCACTATAGTAATTCTTCGCCTCTTTTTATTTCATTTTAGTCCTGATTCAAATCATTTAGTAAATGAGATTGATCATGATAATACTAATGATCATGCATATTCTACCGCCGACGACGGTACTATGGCTGTGTCCCTTGCAAACAACAACACCACCAACGATAAACTACGGTCTACTACTACTAATGATGATGATGACGAGACAGAATCGCTGGATAGAATGGAATCAACGCTTATGAAACAACAGACTATCAGTTCACATTAATGTTTATTCTCTTTCATTTTCATTTTTCTTCTCCTTGTGTGTATACAACAGTTGTGTTTTAGTTTTTTTTTACCGCTCTCCTCGTCCTCCTACTCCTCTCTCACTCTCTCAGTGGCCCGCTTTACTCTGCATTGTTGATTATTTGGTTGCTTTGATCATCATTATGATTATTCCTTGTGTGTGTGTGTTGGCGAAGACTACAAGAATTTTCTATGCATTCTACAAGAATGAATTGTTAGTGGACAAGTTGTTTACTCGTTTGCTTTATATATATATCTGTTTTCTAGAACAGTCGAACTCTTGTCATTTTAAAAGATAGTTCACATATTTTTTGTTAAACACTTTCCTATGTCTCTCTTGTCCTATCTATTTATTGACTGACACAATAGTGATTGTAAAATAAAACTGAACTAATTGTTCATTATATATATAAATATTTATATAATATATTTTTCAATTTGTGATATATACTACTCTCTGTGTATGTATGAGTAGTAGTTCTCTAGTTCGGAAATAAATGGGGGCGTTTTTTTATAGTCAAAGAAGTTGTTCGTATGGTCGATGAAAAGTATGTCATGTGTCTTGAGAGAGAGTGAGAGAGAGAGAGATCAGCATTACATTTTTGTTGACGTTCAACATCAGCTTCTAAAATCTGAAAATTCAATTTCAAAAAATATATATACATAAATATATCGAAACTGAGACAGACAGCCAGTCGGCTACAACGTAGAACTTCGTACGTAAGTACATCAGTTCATGTTGCCATAGCACATCAGCACAGAGATGTAATTGTCGATTCAAATCCAGTAGTAGTAGAGGTAGTAAAGGTATTAGCAGTATTCGGAGAGGTTAGGATTAGAAGATATTATTCAAGAAGTATAATTCAGTGAGATAAGTTTGGAAAGACAAAACTAGAGGTTTTGAAGAATCCATAAGATTAGGATTTGAGAGAACACAAAGAATGAATGCACCTGCGCCATTGCAAACGGTTTTGAGCCATGTCCTTCAAGGTTTCTAACCATCGATTACTATTATCTCACGGACCCCAACCAGGTAGTCGACAACTACCTACATGACTCAGTCCACTTTTCAATGACTTCATGGATTGCTGCCATGTTTTGGTCTGGCTGCCCCTTAATCATAAGCGATACCAAACGAAACAATACACTTGGTCTCAGTATTATACTTTGACTTTCCGAAAGCTTTCATTCAATCTAGTTAACCACCAACGTCTTATAGACAAACTCACATCTAATAGGATCAAAATCCGTCAACTTGCTTGGCTTGATTCTCTCCTCATTTATCGACACCAATTAGTCAAAACTGGGGTAATGCAAGGTAATGGTCTTAGACCCCTTGCTGCGTTTGGCTCGTATAAACGGTATTTGTGATTGTTTCTGTGCAAGTAAGCCTCTTCTATATACCGACGATCTGGAAGTGGTGTATTCATCCTTTACTCATGAGCTGAACAATATTCGAAGCTGGGTCAGCTAGGAGATCAATCAAGTGACCCAGCGGTGCTCAAAATTATGTTGAAGCTTAATACTACTAAATGTAGGTGGATTGGTTTTGTGTATCCTCTACTCAACTTAGATCTAACCATAAAACTTAAGGTATTATGGAAGTTTTTCATACAATACTGTTAAGGACGTTAGATACCCAGAACTCACTTGATCAAGGTCCTAATTTTGGATTTTATGTTTTCGAGGATGGGTTGATCAGGTGGCCTTGAGATTACATTTCCCACTCGCGAAAATCCTTGTCTATCATTGGTCGATGTATTATTTTAGTACGCTATCTTTGTGGCTCTCCCAAGGACGTTTCTGTCATGTGTGTGCTTGTGAACCTCGATTTTCTGGGCGCTTGTAGAATACTCTTTCTACGCCATATCAAGACTTCTTCCTATAGTTAACAGGGCCGGAGACAATCGAATCAGAATAGTCTATCGTGTCACTGGATTATTTGTCTTGTCTCTTATTTACCGACTAAGGTGAACTCGTAATAGTAGTTTCAAGCATATCGATTGACGAGCATATCAAATAATGGGCCTTGGTACCCAGTTATCTTTGTAATTTGTCCACAGAAAAGCTATTCAGATGGATCTTCAAGTTTCAACGTTTTCCGGGTAACTTCTATAACAATGAATCATATATATTGCAACATACACTTCTTGATTACGGCACATTATCTGTATTAGTGTACGCATTAAGGTTGTTAAATTGTGACTGTACAGAGACACACAATTTTTACACTACACATTTTCATAACTGATTGTACTTTTAATTATAAATTCAAGTGAAATAAACTTGAAAATCAAACCTTTATGAAAGAGGAGACCTAAACGTAATCTCAGCTTTTTCTTTGGAAATACATAATAAGCTTTGTTTTACTTACATTCAATGAAGCAATACGACATGACGCATTTGACGTTATCAAATACCATTTTGAACTTTGTACACTTCGTAGTTAGTGTCACTAAGATATGAAAAATCAATCGTTGTGAAGGAGTTAGTAAGGAGATGTTAAAATAAATGACATTACCATATGATCAATGTTAGACCACCATTAGAAACCTGAAATCACTGGACGGCCGTTTCGTCCTGGTATGGGACTCATCAGCAGTGCGCATCCACGACTCCTGTACCTCGCACGATTCGAACCCAGGACCTTCGGTATTGTAGGTGAACTCACTGCTGAGGAGTCCCATACCAGGACGAAACGGCCGTCCAATGCTTTCAGGTTTCTAATGGTGGTCTAACATTGATCCATTCATGGTTTCAAAAAAACTTAACAATCTTTACAACCCCGTAATGCAAATTACCTTATGAAACTAAAGTTTATAGGTGAACATATCAAAATAAGGTTCGAATCTTCAGCTGACTTGTAGTCAGCTAGACAAGAATTTCAAGAACTGATATTCTAATTCCTCAAATGATAATTCATTCATTTGTTCTTGGTGTCTCCTTATTGGTTAAGATGATTGCCACCTCAAGGTCACCACTGTCTCGTAACTCAATTACTGATATATATATATATATATACAGGAGAAATGTAGACATATCACGTGGTCTATGCTTGTTTACGTCAACAAATGAATTGAATTCTTGAAATTGATGACGCTTAAGCCATGCGTGATTCAACCAACCAAAATGCAAAAACAATTGAATTTACTTGAACTATTGACAATTATTAAATTTAAAACAATTAGTAGTCCCTTTTATAAATAATTTTGATAGAACACAGTGAGAAGAAGATGTAATTGATCTGAAAATAAAGGTGATGTATTTGCGCACTAAACAGATTTTGAACAATCTGATCATGCACATATATATGTACACTTGTCAAGGCATTTTATATGACGATTCATAAAAGGTCAGTTAGTAAATAAAAGTTCAAATAGACATAAGGTGATAATTGTAATCATGAAGGAGAGAGAAAATTAACGTAATACAAGAAAGGATAAGAAAAGGTAGGAAATTGTTACATTACCATAGACTTAAAGATTACCAGGGTAATGTGATAATTTTCCTATCCTTTCCTACCCTTGATCAATTACTGTTATGTTCGTCACTTGTACGCTTGAAGCTATTACGAGTTCACTTTAGTCGATAAACGCAAACGAGACAATCAACCAGGGTCCAGGTAGGCTACCTTGAATCCCCGACTGTAAAACAGAAGTCTTGGTAAGCGTAGAAAGTATATTCTACAAACACCCAGCAATCACAATACAATCAAGCAAACAACTCTCGTTTATTTATACATCATAGAAACGTCCTTAGGACAGTTACGAAAATGGCACACTAAAATACACAGCAGCCAATCACAGCCATAGATTTTCCTGGTGGGAAATGAAATCTCAAGATCAACTGATCACCCCATGCCCATAAACGTGAAATTCAAAATAAGGCATTTATCAAGCGTGTTCTGGGGATCTAACATCCTGAACAATTACGTCTTCTCAATGTCCTGACAATTATCAGGTAGTATAACGCAAAAAAAGGGGATGAACGAAATGGGCGTCTGTTTTTTGTACAGTCAAGGATTCTGTAACAAAAACTATGACAAATGTTGTCAATATCTAAAATTGTTTGCCTATTAAATGATCATATGCAGAACTTTTTCTTCATTGCCCAACAATACGTTCTTAAAATTTGTAAATATCTGTATAGTACTTATTATTTTTCTGTTAGGAAACAGGTGTTAGGTAAGGATGACAGATCGATATATGACGTAGTGAAACTTCATCAGATGAGGTGGTTGGGACATGTGTTATGCATGACTAACCACCGACTGCCGCGACGAGCCATGTTTTGTGGTGTATGAGTAGGTTGGAAGGAAGCTAGGGGCGGCCAAACCAAAACATGGCACAAATCCATGAAGTCACTGACAAGTGGACTGAGTCATGTTGGTAGATGTAGACTACCTGGCTGGAGTCAGCGAGTCGACAGTCACCAATGGTTAGAGACCTTGAACGATATGGCTCAGAATCGTTTGCAATGATGCAAGTGCATCCACTCATTGTGTTCTCTCCAATGCTAACCTTCTGAATTCCTCATCATCTCTATCTTTCTCCTTCTACATTTATCTCACTGATTTATACTTCTCAAATCATATCTTCGATCCCTAATCTTCTGGATTACTGCTAATAGTTCTACTATCGCTATCACTGTTGGATATGAACTGACCGTTGCATCTCTGTGCTGATGTGTGTGATGGCAACCTGAACTGATGTACTTATGTACGAAGTTCTGCGTTGTATCTATCTATCTATCTAGTGTTAAACTTATTGAATGTTTGCACTTTTGTCCATACAGACGATATATAAGATGTATATCAAAGTTTTTGTAATCCCCTAAATGCCCTAGTATGGCTAAGGATGAGGACAGTCTACTCTCATATGATCACGCTTATATATAACCACAGACAGGTAAATCGCGTTCACTGTCTCCTGACGGTGGAAGTGTTCTTTTCAAAAGAAATTGAGTGCATGAAAATCAGATGTCCGGCTTTGAAGGAGGATACACCTATAGGAGTTGGAAAACCCAAATCAGTGGTGGACATGGACTCCAGGATTCTAATAGAACGAATGGTGTATGAATCTATTTTTGGCAAGCGTTTAACATGGAACTGCCTCTAGATCGAAGGCTCGAGGATTGGCTCATTAAAAAACCGCTAGTTTTAGTGTAGGTACCGGGTTATTATCCTTACCTACACACAAATTAACTGATTTTTTTGACGCATATATATCTCGAGACCGCTTTGTAAGAATAGCTTAGCTTACGCCTATTACCCCCAATGAAGCATAGTCTGTCGGACCAGTATTCTTCAACCTACTCTGTCATATGCCTCTCTTTCCAGTTCTGCCCAATTTTTGTTCATTCTTCTCATGTCTGTCTCCATTTCTCGACGTAATGTGT